GTATGAGGTGAACATGAATGGAGACTCACCTGTGCAGTAAGAAGCTGTGAGCCGCCCACATTGGCGTGGACGTCTGCGGTGTAAAAACACTCGTGATAATTCACTTCAAAGTAACTTTTAAAAAAGAGAAAAAAAGAGCCAAAAAGACAAATTTTAGGCCTTAATGTAAACTCCGAACCACGTTTGACGTGAAAACTCGCTGAAGTCAGAAACTGGATGAAAACACGGTGCTACAGCGACACCTAGTGCTGAAAGCGGGGTGTGTCACTGACTGCCAGCTTTGATGAAGAAATGAAAACATGGCACACAGGAAGCGCTTGGATAAACAGATTTCGCTACATAATAACGAAATTGATCATAAACGTCATAAAGCCTAATAGATGAAGGTTTTCTGGAGGCTCTCTGAGTGCCTGTAAAAATGTATCTGCATGCAGAGTAGCAAGAAAGAGGATGAAAACTGCCAACTCAAGCTCAGGAAGCAACTAAATAGTAAATGTGCATCAGTATTAGATCATTTTATGTCACTTTAAAAACTGGCATCAGTGAGTTAAAAATATCAGAATTTTACAGCATGGGTGGGGATTCTGTCTGCACCTGTATTGTTATTATTATTATTATTATTATAGGTGATGTTATGTCACAAATCTCTCTGACAGTCATCTAGGTTAAAACACCTGCTGTGGTAAGACTCTCAGTAAATATGACTCCAGGTGACGATGGATATTTGGCTCTAGTGTCATACATGTCTAGTTTTTTTGTGAGCCACGTTAGTAAATACCGAGGCGTTGACTCAGGGTGACTCAATTTTATTTATAAATCGCCAAATCACAGCAACAGTCACCTCAAGACGCTTTATATTGTAAGGTAAAGACCCTCCAATAATACAGCAGAACCAGGCTCAGGGAGGAGCAGCCATCTGCTGTGACCAGTTGTTGGTGAGGGGAAGGAGACGAGACAAAAGACACACTGTGGAAGAGAGCCAGAGTTTAATAATATATCATGATTAAATGCATAATGGTGTATAAACACTTGGTGAGTGACAAAGAAACACTGCATCATGGGAAGGCCGCAGCAGCCTAAAATTATCGTGGCGCAACTAAGAGAGGATTCAGGGTCACCTGATGAGAACAGGTCCAGATGTGACATTTGGGTCAGATGTCTCACATAGGCATCCTTATTCATTATCTCAGACCTCTCTATTTAATCCCAGGCGGCACAGCTGGATGCCCGCTCTGACTCAACAACGTCCAGAAAATGTTCCTTTAAGTCAAGTCCCGTCATGATTAAAGACTGAGTAATCAGACAGAGTCCCGTGGAGAGGACAGTCACAGAAAATGAGATGTGAAAATGGTTTTTTCTTCATTAGTTGGCCCGGTGTTGGAGCACTCCTTTATTCCAGCTGGTTGCTGAGAAGTTCTTTTAGAAATGTGATGACTTTTTTAAATGGCAGAAACAGTGTATCAAGTGAACACGTCAGTCACAATCAATAAAGCTGACTTGATAGTTGGTTCGCTGTGAATCAGTATTTAAGTATTTTTGTTAAACGTTTCTTAAAAACATATCTTCACCAAGGTCTTGATGTTTTTCTGACTTCCTGTCCTGCTGAAAGAGTAGAAAACTGAGTAAATGCAGTATTTATACCTCCAAGCAGGCGTCAGAATCGATCCAGCAGTACCAGAAATATTGCCTTTTGTATTTTTCACACTTCTCTTCCTTTTCAAAATTTGCCTACATTACCCACAATGCAACCACTGCCTACTCTTTCAAAGAGTTGAGGATGTTAAGCCTGAGATTGTCATGGCTCTGGGTCAGCTGGCCCAGTGTTTAGTGGTTTTTGGATATTTTAGGTTTTTTTTAAATTTAATTCTATGAATTCGCAGTGTTGTGTTTTGTTTATATGATTTCTTGTATTTATTCTCTTAGTGTATTTAATCGATGTTCGTGCCAGAATGACCAACAAAGCTGCAATGGCTGACTAGTGACAAATATTGGGTGAAGAACGGGACACCATCCCACAGCAGTGTGTGACCGAGCAGGTGGCCAGCAGGAGGAGGTGGTGCTGCTCAACCCACAAGTGGATTTTCATTACAAATGTAGCACCATTTAAGGTGGAATAAACTTTCCAACAGTATAAGATTTATTGCCAAGAACAAAGACACAGTTAACCAAACACAAACTTAGTTTATTAATGAAATGATGTAACCTATTATAAATCAATCACCAGTTTGCGACACGAGCTTCACATAAACGTTACTCGACAGCATTTACATCCTCGGTGGTTGCACTCCATCCGTCCTTCGAGCAAGCGAAGCAAAGCAGCCTAAATCATGACGCTCCCTCCGCCGTGCCTTTCCTCCTTCATTGTGGAGCATCATGGGGACTTTCCAGTGTTGAACATTTCACTGTGTTTTTGCAGCACTAGTTTCCCTTGTGGTGTCCTTTCACTGACACCATCTTAATTCAGTCTTCTGACAGCGGACTCGTGAATGCAGATTTCACCAACAAGGACCACAACCTCAAAAATGATGGGCAGCATTTGTTTAAACAAATATCTAGATGTGAAACTGTCGTTTGAGGGAAGAAATCCTCCCGGCCCGGGCGGATCCCTGCTGCTACTGAGAAGAGGAGGTGAAAAAACGAGTAAGCGGGATGGAAACTCAATCACAGAGAAAGCATTTGAAGACACACAAAACAGAGGAGTGTATTTCTTTTAGGGGCAACCCTGAAATTTCTCTTTGAGTTAGTCTTTAATGTTACTTAAATAGCAACTTTCTACTCAGTTGAGAACTCCAGCGGATGAGTCAGGCTCAGCATCTTGCCGATAGAACCCGCTCTACCACCACCACCACTACACTTACATCAAGCGTTTTGTTGGCGAGTTGACATTTAGATGTTAACTCCTCTCTCCTTTATTTCCCCATTGACTCAAAGTGACGATGGCGTGAAGGGTGGGGGAGTGTTGGAAGGGTTAGCCGTGTCCAGGCAGCCTCATTAACATTTGAGTCACACTGTGTTATTAGCAGCACTGAACGGTGTCCGGAGCTCATGTTGCGCTCCAGACCCCTGCAAAGCTGCTGTGGCTAATTACGAGTGGCAGAAGTTACCTCAAAAATCACAGTTTTTTGGATTTAATGGATCTCATTTAAAGTTAATGCAGCATGAGTGCCGATCGGCCTGAAAACCACCTCTGTCACTTTTTGTCGGATGCGTTTGTGAGCTGGTTCGTCCACGCCATCGTGCCCAGTGATGACCTTATCCTGTCCGGTGACACGTCTGTTCACAGCCTCTGTCACACACACACACACACCTCCTCACTGCCTCACAGCCAATCCTCTCCACCAATCACATCCTTTTGTTGGCTTGAGGATGAGGAGGATTTGAAGATGAAGGTGCCTATTTATCAGCTCAGCTCATCATGATACCCTTCAGCTCCCGCACCTCCTACATCCCGATTGGTTAGGGTTTCTTATAGTTTGGGGATTTTTGCAGCACCGCACACCTCCAGCGTTGAAAGCAGAGTCCGGGAACGTAAGAGCTGAGTTGTTCTGTCTGCGGTTCGAGGCGGAGATGTTTCGCTCTCAGGTGCTTCTCGTGGCTCTGGGTTTGTCTGTGCTGCTGGTGCGGGTGAGCACGGCTCCATACAGCGACATGCTGACAGAAACACTGAGAGCAGACCTCACAAATGACAAGGTGAGTAAATGCTGCATCAGGAGCTAAAATATATAAACAGTTTTGTACTGGAACAGGTGTTTGAACTTGAGGAACCCCGTCCCCTCCATTTCTGTCCTCCTTTAGGATCTGACTCACTGGCTCTTGCTGAAGTTCATGGCTGAACTGATGGCGGCGAGAGGAGACGAGACGCGGCGAGGCAGGGAGGAGGTGACGAGGCGACACCTCTCTCTGTCCCAACGAGAGCGCAAAGCAGGCTGCCGCAACTTCTTCTGGAAGACTTTCACCTCCTGTTAACAGCAGGAGCATCTTTTGTTTTTACGGATCAGCCGACGCATGTTTGCTTTCTTTGTGGTAACCGGATTATTTACCGTAAGATAACAAATGTGCAGATACTTTAAAAGTTTAAAAGACTAATAAAATTATATGTTTCAAGACCGGCAGGTACACACTTCTGAAATAAATTTTCTGATTTTAAATCCTGAATTCTCGCTTTTCTGTGAAGCTGGTACCGATGAGATATCCCGATTCTGTCTGCATCAAACCCCAGCTTTCCTGGATCCTACATTTCCCACAATGCAAGTTGATATCATCTTTTGGTAATGTGTTTGTGTTTTTTTTCTTACTTTTGAACACAGTGCAGCAGATAGCATTAGAGGGAAATCATTCACAGATAGATACAAGTTACTTTTTTGATAAAGCCATTTGAAAACATGAGTGACTGGCTCAGCTTGCAATGTAAAAAGCATTATATAAATCACAGATAACACTGATTAACCTGGCGAATGTAACGAATACCTGGGCAGCACCGTTACGCAGAAGACGTGGGAGCGTCAAACTGATATCTGAATATTTCAGATGAATCTCTGTGACCTCAAACTCAAGGTCAAAGTCAAGTTGTCTAAAAATTTTGTGAATGTGATAACTTGAGAAGTCACTGAGGTGTAGCACTGATGGTTGTTTTAAAAGATTGCTTTAGTTATCAGCAGCACTTGATGGTGTTTGTTAAAATGCCAGAATCACCTCTTTGCTAACGTTTTAACCACCGAGCTCCAACTCAGCACTTTAAACTGAATCCACAACAAGGATCGTAATCCGTGACTGAAAAGGAGAGAAAACTCCAAGATCCGAGGAGCGTGACGCATGCTGGCGTGAATCAGTGTGTTGAGTGAGTTGCGAGCACTGTGAAATGTTTAAAAAAAACAAAACAGATCAGCACATCACGAGATAAATGAAGAGACGCCGACGACTGGAGCGTTTTAAAGTGATCGTGTTGTGTCACCGAAACAAAAGCAGAATTCACAGAAACACACAAACACAAAAACAGTTTCAAACCAGGACAGTTATGGAGCTGAATGACATCCTTGAGGTAAGGCTTTCACATTTCTAGCCCTTTAAGTTAAACACATACAAAATGCGGACGGAGAGACGAGAGGTTAAACACAGTTATAACAAATACTGCAGCTCCAAAGGCTCAGAGTATGACTACTTTGCCTCCATAAATGAAGACTTGTAATCGAACAAAAAAAATCCATTTAAGGGGGATAAACAAAGTCATCACCTTAAAAGAAAGGGGACCCTATCATGCTTTTCTTTACTTCTTTATTTCCAATTACTGTGCTAAACTGTAGGTGATGTCATAGAGTAGGCTTAATCATAAGCACATAAGCCACCTGCTGGTCTAACCATTTGTTTGTGAGGGGCAGCCAATCAGAAGAGAGCTGGTTTTAAAAGAAGGGGAGGTGCAAAACAGCTCAGACAGAGACAGCAACTTTTTGATTATTTCAGACTGAATCATTGCAAAGCTGCTCTACTTGAGTTCAAAATTACAGCACAACAGGTCCCCTTTAAATTCAGCACTCATTACCCCCTAACGGTGCCTTCACACCAAACGAGAAACACAAGTTTTGCTAACGATAATCCATAAGTCATCTGCCCCTTTAAACAGATTATCACTTTTAAATGCTTTTTTCCTTTTTAACGTTTCCCCAAATGGCACATTAAACAAACTCTTTACAAGAGGCTTTGAGCTTTTGCACACCAGGATGCCTCGTAAGTGAGCCACACCCTGTTTTCCATTAGACAAAGTGAGTTTGACTTCATTGCACCGTCATTTTCAATGTAACATGTCAAGTATCAAACAAACAAGCATCGAACAAAGATTGTGTTCCGTAGACATTCAAAAATGGCAAAAAAAGAGAGAAAAGAGTCTTATTACAAGTTGTGAGTAAGCGACTAGTAACATGATGCTGTAATGCTGAGAAGCGTGACAAAGAATCTGTCCTAACAAATCTCGTTCTACAGAAAAATAAGCTGTTGGCTGTCAAACTGCTACACATTCTTATCGTCTACATTTCCTGCTCTATCAGGCTACGTCACCGCACTGCACTACAGGCTACACGCGTTCCACAACAACCCGCAGCAGATTCAATCAAACCCACCTGTTATGTACAATCACAGTTGATTTTGTGTGCTTTTAATATGCATTTCGACGCAAAACGCTGCCTACTCTCTAGCCTGGTTCAGACAAACCATAATCCTGATTATCACGCGTGTCCCTTATCTGGAAAAAAATCCTTATTTTCAGATTGAAATCTGTAACGTCCGTGTGTGCTTTCATTGTCTTTGAAAGTGTTAACAATAAAATAAAATGACATGTGCAAGGAATATGTGGGCAGTACCGGAGTGGATGAATGATAAAGTGGAGCCCAAGCTGCCTGCAGGTCAGGCCACTGTCGTACAAACGCTGAGCTAAACATTACAAACGATGTACCAAAGAGTAAAGGAAATGAAGCGGGAGAAGCCGAACACCAGTGAGGAGGAAGTAAAAGTAACGATTTTCTACCGACACTGTGAGTGAACAAGCTGCTATCAATAATGTGCCGGCTGTCCGTGGATCTGTGAGGCCGGGAGCGAAGAGGTTCAGGTAGAGATTTGTTAGCAGTCGGTGGAGATTTTGGCCGAGAGGTCCTGGATGCGGCGTGCGCTGCAGCTCTTGCACAGGATGTGGCCGTCCAGCGGGTAACAGCCTCGACCGTCGCCTTCAGACGACAGCAGGAGACCACATTCCTGACGAAAAGAGGCACTCGGGTCACTTCAGATAAACGCTCACAAGGACTGCCGAGTTTTGTGTTTTGAACTCTTCATCAGCTATGATGAACTTCACACTTTGATCAGCAAGTCCACATTTAAATACACATTTAGATTCCCCAGATTACTGCGATTGATTTATGTCAACACACTGAGCTGTTTCCACCTAAACCTGCAGTTTAGAGATTAGCAACGCCATGCTGATGTTTATTGACTACTTTATTCTCACAAGAGAGTTCACTGTGTTAATTATATGTAATGTTTAATGTAACCAGGCTTTCTTCTGCCTTGGAAAGGCGCCGGCATTGAGGCTGTTACTCTATTTCCCTGAAACTGATCCCTTTTCCTCTTATTTTTAAATAATTTATTCTCAGAAAAAAGGGAATTCATAAAGCTTTTCCTCGATATATGCCAAGAGATCTGCTTGATTGGGAAAGCTCACCTCACAAACGTAACAATTAACATGGAAGCTGCGGTCCAGGGCTACAATCCTGACGGTCTCCTCCTGCCCCGGCTCGGGCATGATGGGCTCCCCACACACCGAGCAGCGCGGCGCGTACTTCCTGTCAGACACAACAAGCATCCAAGCTCAGAGTTAGTTTAAGCACCTCTGTCTCGGCCTCAGTGCAGAGACGCAGCCTGCAAACGCTGTTTAGCTCGCACAGTTCAGCGATTACCTGTGAAAGTCCTCTATGCAGTGTATCTGAGACGTGGCGTCCACTGTGAAGGGCACGCCGTCCAAACAGCAGTTACAAATGACACACGTGAAGCAGCGAGGGTGGTAGGCTTTCCCCATGGCTCGCAGGATGCGGTCCAGAATGGGTTTGGAGCACTTTGAGCAGCGCTCTAGTGTGCTCTTAAGAAAAACAGATGGAAATAAAAACAGGGTTGAGAGAGGACCACTGAAAGACGAGGGAGAGCAAATCTCTCCGGTTTGAGGAAATATGAAAACAGCTCATTCACGTACGATGTAACAGCTCTCGCAGTAACTCTTCTTGTCGAGAGCGTAGAAGGGTTGCCCTCGCAGACGTGCGTGGCAGGTGATACACGTGAAACACTCCACGTGGAAAACCTGCTCCATGGCGATGCAGCCGCTGCCATCGCCGACCACGTTGTCTCCGCAGCGGGCGCAGCGACCTGAAGGTCGGCATGGAAACGGACAAGAAAAAAGTCATTAAGATGAGCTTTCCTCTTAAACTATTTTTAGATTTATTCCTGTGATGTGCCACTAGTAACAACTGATACCAAAATAGTCCTCAGCAGGCGGGTGGTTCATATCATACACCAGCTTCTTGGTGAGCCGATCCAGCTCTTCCTCAGGCCTGGGCGTTGCTGCCCCCTGCTGGAGGAAAGAGGACACATGAATCACACAAAGTTTATTTGATTTTTCAGAACACCTGGACTACAAATCAATTTGTGTTTGTTGTATGAACAAAATAGAAGTTGCGTTTCTACCTTGCTCGACTGATAACCTGGACCCTGTGCGGCTCCCGACCCACTCTGATTATTTTCCATCGCTCTCTTAGAAACAGGAAGCTGGTTAACTCTTCCTCCAGACCCTGAGCCGCTCCCCTTATACCCCCCCTCAGAGTGCATCTCCTGAACCTGTGAGCCGGGATGTGGAGGGTACCAGCCCTGGGGAGCAGTTTGAGTCTGGGGCGGGGGTCGTGACACGTGCTGGCGAGGAGGAGGCGGAGTGTATGCCTGTTCAGCCTGCCTCCCTGTCTGAGAGTAGGTGACTGGCTGCGCTGTCTTGACCTGGACGCTGAACCTGGGCCCCGTAGGAGTGGACGCTGTGGTGTAGGAGGCTGGGACGGGCTGAGGGTAAGGTTTAGGGGTAGAAGTGGTGTAGTAGTCCTGCTGGTGGGAGGTGGAGTACTGAGGTGTCTGATGCTCATTGGGGTAGGGAGGTGCTGGGTGGTATTGGCTCTGGGGATGAGGGTTGTAGCTCATGGATGGGCGACCCTGAGGAGGGGCAGCGCTCTGGTGTGCAGGCTTGTAGTGATCCGCTGAGAGGTATTTGTTGTAAGGCACGTTGTCATAGAGCTGTGGGGAGGCGGAGAATTAATAAACAGGCAAATAAAGAGAGATATCAACATTATTCATTGTTTAATTTATCAATTAAGTACATGTTAATCATTTTGAGCTAATCAAGCTTGCCGTACTTGAGTGCTGGAGTCCTGCGGGTGGCTGTCCAGATCAGCCAACATACTGGTGAGGGAGTCAATTTCAGCATCGATTTTGGAGTGGTAGTTTGCTGGCTTCTCTGGGCCACGATGCTAACACCAGAACAGCATAAGAAACATGTCAGCTGGTTCTGAAACCCTTCAAATCTTTAGTTTCTTGTAGGCAAAGCTACTGACATGTCCACTCACCATCATCTCGTAGCTGTCCATGTGAGGGCTCCAACTGCGGTCTTCTTTAGGACCGTGTGGAGACGGGTAATAGTGATCACCAGATGAATGATGCATGGGTCCACCTAATGTTTTAGAGAACAGATATTGGAAATGAATCCAAAACCGTCTTTTTAAAGCACAACATCACAAAGCAGATCTTCACTAAAGAGATTCGCTCTGACATTCATGCGATGCATCGCTGGTTGCTGAAACACTCGTTCTACCCACATTAACCACGAGAGATCTTTCAGTCATGATTCTAATATGAGTAAGAAACACTACAGGCCTGAATCTGTTTCCAATTAAACAAAAATCAAAAAAGTGAAGAGTCAGTATTCCAGCATAGCCACATCAGATTTGTTTCTATCAGACTTTTAGTCACTTACTTCTAAATATTCTCATTGTTTTACCCCTGAAATACACCAGTGTTTCAGGAGTGTCCCCAGTGGATCTCTCCTCTGTATCACTTAAGAATACCACGGCTTACTTTTTTTAAATGGAGGCAAAAGATACAGGGAGGAGTCGCCTCAAGGCACTTCATTCTTTAAGGTAAAGACCCTAAAATCAAACCCCTAATGAGGAAGCAACTGCCGACAGTGGGAAGGAAAAACGTCCTTTTAACAGGAAGCAACCTCCGTCAGAGCCAGGCTCAGGGAGGGACAGCCATCTTCTACGATCGGTTGGGGAAAGAAAAGAAAAAAAGGACATCGCTGAGAGAAAGACGTCAGACACAGGAACAGGATAAAGAATCGGGTCAATTTTCAAAATAAAAGACCTTGCTTCGACCACAATCTCCGCTTCTAAAACTCTGACGATGTGATATGACACCATGTAAAAAGGATAGAAGAAAGCAGGGTCACAGCCACACACTCGGTGTATTTCAGAGGTCAGCAGAAACTTTTACAAATTCAAAAAGCAAGTTTTTGACATTTAATACTAAAAAGACTTCGGTAAACAAACTTTATTTGTGACTGCTAGAGCCTTCCTAAATATAACTGCTACAGGAAGGGATCATTATTCAGCCTAACATCTGCACATCAGTAGCAGAGGATGGATATCATGCAGAGTTTATAGAGTTTTATGATTTTACAGCTCCTTTCTCCTGATTGTAACATAAAAACATTGGTGAGTTGAGTTTCAGATGCTTTCAGGACGATACAGCGCGTGCCGAGTAGCCTTCTTACCTGTGGGCCCAGTTGCCATGTACCTGTTGGCCATCCCTCCTCCTCCTCCTCCTCCTCCATTCTGATCGTAAGGACCATATTTTGGTCTGAAATCGGGCGTGCCCTTCTTCATAGGGGCTCGATAGATTGCTCCACCAGCAGAGTGGGACATCTGGGGGGTGGCTCGCTCTGGGCTGTCCAGAGTCCTCGGTGGCAGCCAGGTGGGACCGGACATGGCAGGTGTCTGAGGTGATGCAAACATTTATGTCACATTTTTCTGTACATAAAAGTTCATTAATACAATATGACTGATACGTGCTTTTAACCTGTAACAATAATAAGAAAATTGACTTTAACCTCCTGGTTTATTTTTCATGCTTTTAGGCTTAATTCGTGTATTTGAGCTCAGCTGTGGCTGTTTTGCGCATTTATGCCGGAGGTAACCAATGGAAACTAAGGGATGCTTCAGACTTTGTTTCCTATGGCAACGGGCACACACGGCTTGAACAATGGGCTTCTGGTTGAAGAGCAGGAAGAGAGAAGCTGGACTGCAGGGCTCGGGGATTTCCAGCAGGATCGCACACGCCTGAAAACATGTGCGAGTGTGTTTTTGTGCGTTTCACGACACAAACGGTGACGGAAAAGATCGCCAGCACACCCGTTCACACACACACACAGATGTACAGTGACATAAACAGGTGCAAATCTGCAGCTACCCCTCGTCTGCTTATCCGCCACAATAGTTATTGTCTTTTCATGTTTACACACCAGTATCATTTATTTCCAAATGAAGCTGGGAGAAAAACACGGCAGGAAATGTTGTACCGTGATATGCATCTGTATACGCATAAACACCTGGCTCATAACAATATACTATGCATTCTCAGGACAAGCTCACAGCTGAGCTGAAAAAGTGCCGACTTGCACGTGAGGGGCGTAAAGCCGCTCCTGTTACATAAGAAAAAAAAACATCTGGCATGTTTTACTGTTATCTGTATTGTGTATTTTTGAGCAAATATGACTGCAATAACACTGAGGCCAGACAGATTTCAGGCCATCAGTTTGGTGTCTGCGCTTTCATCATTTTACAGAATACAAATATAGCTGACTCATCAAACTCTACAGACAACATAAAACAAGAGCAAGCACATATGAATGCAAGCTATGGACACAAAGCTAAAATGGACTGAGAGGCACAGCGAATCACAGCTACGTACTGTCAGAGTGGAGAAATTAATAGCCCACTCAGACTGATTGTATGTGGGTCGTGTGGCCATCATAAGAGGATTATACTGACGGATGAGAAGATGAGGTAGTCACACAGAAAAACAATTCCCAAACATTAGATTTAAGCTTTTCCCCCTCTCCCCCTTCATTATATTAAGATTTGGAGTCATTTATGAATAAACCACACAATGTCAGGGTGGACTTTACATGATAATACACACTGACCACGTGGAAGAAAGAGTGACCCAACACCTCCACTGACCACCCGTTTTAACACCCCCTGTCTGAATCCGGATGAGCACACACTCAAATCCCAGGATCCAGAACAGGAAATTAATCCCATCTGTTATATCACTTAGACCGTCTTGTTACCTCTTCGTGTGGAGTGAAACACAAAGCTAAGTGTGTGAGCTGGGCTGGGCTGTACGGGAGGCGCAGCAACCCGTGAAATGTCAAAGTTGATGCTGACTGCAGCAAGAAGCGTGAAGGAAACGGGAACACAGGCACAGGACATCCGGGATTTTTGGAAAATCGAAATGAAATGCACTGGAAGCACTTTAGTAACACACAATATTAAAAGAATAACAGATTAAATTTTAATTTAATCTGTTATTTATTTCTAATTTTAATAACAGGTCGTTATTTTGTAACATTTACGCTTTTATTCTGAAGCTCGCTGCTCTGTTTGCGTTAACTCATCTGACACAGTGTCGCCTGAAAAGGTGGCGATCTGTGCTAAACGGAGTAAGAGGAAGACAAAATGACTCAAGTCATACCGGGAAACGTTTTTTGTAAATATGTATACATTTTATTTTGTGCTATATAACACGAACGGCAACAGATCGTCTCCTACCTTTCACAGTACCGTTACAGAGAGCCTCCTCTCTCCTTCGGTGTCATCTAAAAATCCAGAAACACAGCAGGATAGTGAGGAAACAAGCAGGCGCATCACAGATACACGAGCGACATGTTTGTTCTCCTTTTTTGCGCTCACTAACATTTTTCTTCTCTCGTGAAAGACAAACTGCTCAGCTGCTCGTCCAAAACTGTCCTCCGTACCCCACACATGTGAAAACACACAGCATTTTAAGCGCTCCAAACCGGGGCTAACCGGCCGTGATTAACTTTAGTAACAGCCTTGTTTACTTGTTTGCTAGCCTGTTTTGAACTCGAGCAAAGCTCGTGCCTCTCCCTCGGGCTAACTTCAGCCGAACAGGAAACAAAGCAGCCAGCCAAAACGCACCACGACACATACCGTGTGAAATGAGCCACACCAACACGACCTACGCCTCCATCCAAACGCTCCCAGGCCGGGGAAAGTTGTCCCGGAGAAACTTTCCTTCTGCTTCGGCGTGGCTAACCTACTTTGTCCCGGATCCAGAGGCCTTTAGCAGCAGCAGCGGCGGCCGCAGATCCTCACTGCATTCCCACCGTGTGACGTCGTTGCTGCGCGCGTGTACGTGCGCGCGCACGGAGACGTGGGGGGTCCGTCACATCTACAGGCTCAAAAGAATACACTCAAAACTCCAACATAACACAGATACCAGACTGCTAAGTTTGAACAGAATAACCCCACATGTGTAATTACACCAGTATATGGATTATATTAAGTCTGAGACCGCCACTGAGCTCTGCTTCCCTTTGGACAAGGTGGGAAAGTCATGTGTTTCAGCACCCGAAACATTACCACCAGCTATAACAGGCCAGCTTTAGTAAAACAGAGAAGCTCAGTAGATTGCTACAAAATAATATGACCAGAATTCCCCAAAAAGGTGACTATGGTAAAAATTATACAAACCAAAATGTCTTGACGCATGCTTAATCATCCAGCTAAAGAAAACACAGAAAGTTGGGGAAAGTGGGTTAAAAAAATGGCACAATTAAGCAGATATTGTATTATCATTTAGGGTAGTTTTTCCTGTGCACAACAAAGTTTTTTGGTCCCTCATAAACATGAAACAATCATTTTATGGTTTAATAGCAGCGCTTGTGCTGACAGGTTTGGGCAAAACCTGATACCCGATGTTGTTATCTCAACATGATCGTGTGTGTGGACCAAAGACCGTGACGTTCAGCACTCATTTGCCTTTGTTTTGCGTGTGGGCTCGTTATCGTGCTACAGCACCTGAACTGTCAACATAGAGTTGGGTGAAGAGAGTAGGATAGGGTGAAGGTGATTCAGTACTGGTGTCCAGCTCCAGACTTGATTAGCACTATGTTTCATTTTGGGTCTAATACATTACAGTTTCATTCTGTCTCTTGTTTATCTGCACACTTCTCTCACTGTCACAAATGCCAAACTTGGATTAATCAGTAAACAGGAACTTTTTTCCCAGGTAGCCGCTGTAAATAGCCACCGTATGACCTTGTTCGATGACTCTTCCTTTTCCTCGTTTGATTTCACTCTTAGGCAACCTCCTTCCAGAGCAACTTTTTCTCGCTTAAGCATTGCACTTTTTAAAAATCTTTTTTGAAACAAATCATTTGCACCGAGGCTGCTTCTTCATCTCTCACTGAAAAAAACTTGATCTTGTTATCGATCTTCTGATGGTGGTGTGCACAATAACACTTTGGAAACAAATGATCTAGTCTCAAAGTGTTTCAGAGTGTCAGGCTAGCCACTAGTTCACTCTGAGGAAGCACCTCTTTGGCAAACATAGCTCTGATGCCATGTTTGCCAACTTACCACTGATACTAAGCCCTTGGATTGGTTCCATCTGAAGGATACCACTCATGCAGATTGGATTGTCTATTGTCAACAAAAAAGGCAATTAAACATTGTATTTTTGTATTATTGTACGGTCTTTACTTTATAATATAAAGCACCTTGAGGCAACTGTTGCTATGATGTAGCATTGTATAAATAAAATTGAACTGAATTGAAAAGACAATTATACTATTTATTCCAATGTATTCTATTTATTCTACATATTCACTTGCTTCTTTTCCACCACACATACACACACAGACACACACACACAGCCGTTAATATGGAGGTCAAGTACTAGTTCTATCAAGCTTCATCAAATCATGAGATTTGGGTCAGCTGCCCATCTCCCTTCGCTCTCCCTCTTCCTCCTCATACTCCACCCAGCACAGTGTTGGAGGCACATGGCTCTTTCCTCAAGGCACTGCTTCAAAGGAAGGGTTTCATATCATTTATTTTTCATTTCCCACTCTATCTCTGCCAATAAGCGGACAAACAACCAGAGCTGCTCCCTGGGATCTCCCTGCTTCCTTGTCCCGCTCCTCCTCCTCTAGCTCTGTGCTGTTTGCCCTTATATGGCCATAGAGCTCTGTAATCACAGGCAGTTTGGGTTGATCTCTGTTATTGTTACAGGAGTTATCAACACTTTGGCACCAACTGGTGGATTTGAAGTCAAAGCATGGCTTCAGTCCATACATTATCAGATAAACAATATGGTCCTGTCCAGGCAACCAGGAAATCACAAAACAAGGGGAAGCTCTTCATTTGAGAAGTGCAGAAGGTCCATTTGGGACTTTATTTTGATGTTAAATATTAACAACTCTGCATTTTATCAAAACAGGGCCAGTGGGTCGCTGATGGGCATTGACAGATGGGGCAAGATGCAGGAAGTCACAATGAGCGCTGCCCAGTCTTGCCAGCGGGACAGACTCAATGGCTTCCGGCCATTGGTGAACCCGTTTAGTAATGTTCTCACTTTTCCTCAACCGCCCCCCTCATCCGTTCTTCTCACAATGCCTGGAAGTAGCCTAGACCTACATCTCCTTCTCTGTTTTCTTAACCGTTGTGTTCCTTTATGGTTTTTCCTTTTTTTTTTTTTTCAAAAGCACACAATTGATCTGAGCTCCATCCAAACAAATAAAAGCACAAGAGCACACACAAACACTCAATGTCCCATGCAAACATCTTACTTCCGATTTACCTTTTCAAAGGATTCATATGAAAATGGGTTTGCGTTTGATTCTGAAATCATCTTTTAGACACTGAATTGTAGGGAAAATATTTTATTAAAGGCTTATCAAACCTGAAAAAGCTAATTATTTGAACTTTCATTGGATATACTAATGCATTTATTCAGTGGTTCTCACAGTGGGACTCCCAGTGATTTCAGACTTATATCCAAAAGAGTTGCAAAGTAATACATTGTAAAACATCATGCTAAAAAAGTACAAAACAAAATATCCATACTTATCTGTGTCCTTTTATTGCCATCTACATTATCACTGGAAACTCCCACATAATATGCAGTAAAGTCATCACTGGAAATAAAAAACTACATTTTTACTTAATATAAATTTGTGCATTCGACTTAACCTCTTTAGTTTGCTTACTTATATTGAGTTAAACAGGTATTGAGGATCACAGCTGTATAAATTTGTTTTATTTAATAATTTGCACTTCAGTAAGGAAAACATCTGCAATTTCTATCACAAGGAGTGTGGTGCAGTGCATGGGCCATAGTGTGTTATATGGGGCACAATGCGGTGTATGGGGCACAGTACAACATATAGGGCATAAATATACGCAATATATAGAGCATGCAGTGTTTAGAGTACGCTGTGCTATATCAAACTGTGTAACAGTGTAACAAAAACTCTGTAAACTCTATGCCTAATAATCTTTATTACTATTAAATAAATTCTTGTTAAATGTTTTCCCCTTTAAGACATATCAAGCCTGCAAAACTCTGAGAACATGTAGCCTAGTTAACTGAGTCCCTTTAAATTCATCAAAAGTAATCATTTAAGTTTGAGCAGTATTTTGTTTCTCTTGCAGATCTCATCCTGCACTGAATCCTACATCTGTTTTTCATTTTAGAGGAACATTTCCAAGCTTCACCTCAACATTACACAGTATAGCTGAATCAGAGCACTTCTAAGAAGTCAACCTTGAAGATTTTTTTCTTCACCTTCCTCATGGTCTCCTGTAAAATGCTCTGATGTGGAGGAAACACAGTTCATAGTTCACTGTGACTCAGTTAACTGTACTGTGTGTGATTCTCTGTGAACCTGAGGCTGTGCTAAAGATGGGGCAGCTTTCCGCTAATCATTTAAAAAAAAAAAAAAATTCATAACCTCTAAAGCCTTTGTCCCCTCACTTCATTAACACCTCCCAGCCCCCAACCCAGGTCTCCATATCTCTTCCCTTATCTCCTGCTTGCTTTATTATTGACGGATGTCCTGCGGGGGCGTTTTTTTTATCCACGTCTCTGAGCAGCTTTGCAGGATGCATAATAAGTTTGTGCATGTTTGTGTGTATGTGTGAGGAAGTTCCTGCACATCTGTCGGCTGCATTTCTCTCAGTCAGGGTTGGGTAGGGGTTGTTTTTCAGTGTGGAGAAGGTGTCTCCCATTTATAATGATCAATTTTGTCTCGCTTCCTTCCTTTTGGTCCTCATAACACGTAGCCTTTGCTCTGAGGCATCAAGCCAGAAGCTTCCGGATAGTGTTGTGAAGTACTTATAAATGCCCATTATACTGACCTGGTTGACTCAACAATGACAGTTTGTATTTGAATGGGAGTATTTATTATAAATGATGGGCATCATCATAGGTTATGAGAGCTTGCGCATAAAATTATTAGCAGAATTTGTAAAAATGTTTAAAAAATCATCCTTTAAAAAGGTGAAAGCATAACTTGTTTATTCAACAATAAGTTGGTGCTCCAGCTTCCTGTCAAGCAGTTTCCTCTGTCCAGGAGAGAGGTGAAGGGCAGGAAAGCGTTGGTGGGGGATGTTCTCTGGCTTACCCCTGGATAGTCAGACACGTACTGCATGTCCCCAAAGGTCCTTACATATATTTTTTTAACATGGCACAAAAACACACGATGCTTTTCCTGCTATTAGTTTGTACAGACCTAGGGGGGAGTTTAGAAAAACTAATAGACCACTAAAAATACTTAGAGCCTGGAGCCTGAGCCATGCAGGGCTTTTTCCTGCGTTGCTTCCAGTGTGCGCGTGGGCCCATTGAGGAAAGAGGAAATGAGCTGCCCTGGTTGTAAGGGGGCTTCCTGAATGATATTATAAAGAGCTCCCTCCCTTCAACCTCTCCTCACAGTGTTGCTCAGAGCAAGCGGAGGCTGTCGGTGATCCCTTTGCTCCACATCTTTGACCGTGGACTGAACACTGAGCCAAAGGGGTTTGACGTCAGTGCAGTGCACGCTAATTCTCGTCCCTGCTGGTCGGGGTAAGGTGGACATACTGATTGTTTCGCTTTTTTAAAAATGATTTGCCTAACTGTCGCATT